GCAGTATAATAGAGACACCCTGTCACCCATACAAAGCCATAAAACACCTTTGAAGGAGGAAGAGAAGAAATATCAAAGAAATCAAAGACTGATGGAGAACAGTAACTTAAAAAAGGAACTTCTGATATAGTTATTAAGAGTTGAAGTGTACCTGAAAACAAGTATCGTACTCAATGGGAATGCTATGTATCCCAAAGAGACAGTTATAGTTTGCTTTATAGGGTTGCTATGAGGCAATGCTAATATGTACCCATGAGACCAAACTCAGAAGAAAAATATTGAAATAAGTTTTAAAAACTAAATTTCTACTGGAGCAGACAGCCTCATCTTTCTCCTGCACAGCGGCTGGTGCGTTCCCAGCCTACCAAGCAACCTATTATCTATGACATACAACCAGAAAACCCAAACTCATAGTCACCATTTAGTGCAGGGTATACCTGTCCGTGTGGGTTTCCATGACTGTAATGCTTTAGGAAAGTAAAAAGCTTTGTCTTTGCCTTGAGGAGTGGCTGGTGGTTTTGAACTGATGACCTTGCAGTTAGCACTCCAATGTCTAACTACCATGCCACCAGGGCTCCTTATCTGTGCCTTAAATACTACCCAATCCCCATGAAATCTGGCTCCTCCTAACTCCCAACTCTTGCACCAATGACTCCCAAGTCACCAGTGACTCGTTGTAATGCAGGAAGGGCATTCACCAGCCCTTCCTTGACTTCTATGCAATCTCTTTGAGGTCACTTTCCTGAGGGCGGTATCTGTGTGTGCTGGGCTTTCCATACTTCTAGTGGCTCCTGTCTTCTTCGCAGGCTCCTGTTCATTTTGTCCACGGTAAACAATTATGGTTTCTAGGATTCCACCTCTGGACTTTTTTTGTTGATCCTTAAACTTTCAATCCATTTCTGTGTTTAAGCACTGATGAATCTTTAACTCAATTTCTAGTTCAGGTCACAGGAATAAATACCATGCCCTTGCATTTGGTCAGCTCTACTCTCATAGCTAGACCAAAGATTACATTGTCAAAACAACTTGACACATTTCTTCATTCCACACCAGATGTATTACCATATATACTCCAGTATAAGCCAAGGCACCTAATTTTACCACAAAAAACTGGGCGAGGAGGGGGAAGTTCTGCATAAAAATGTGCTGAAAAACTAACCCACCCAAGGGGAGGGTATTGTTTGTATCTCCACAGGCAAAAAGGGACCAGACTTCAACCTGGTGCTCCAAGATGAAAATGCAACATGCCAGCATGGTGTAGGGAACCAGTGGAGAGGTCTGAGGGGCTGGCCCCAATCTCAACAATGTGGATACCTGCCCCTCCTCCCAGAAGAATTTATTTCAGAGAACAGCACTGAGGCTGCAGCTCGGGGACAGGGACATGTCTGATCAGAGCACAGGGGAGCAAATGAAGGGGGAGGAAGAGCTAGTGGAGCACATCCTGGCCCACCAAGCCTTGAGGACGATATTCCTGCTCAGAGAAGCCAATCCTCAGAGAAGACCATATGGCCGGCCCCGCTATGAGACATGACATCCCTCACTGTCCCATAACCCTACAGGGGACAAGACTGGAGACACAGTATGGGAATTGCACCTGATCTGACCACACCACACCGAGGCAAAAGAAGGGCTTGCAACAGAAAAGCAAAGGGAACAGTGCAAATAAAGTCCCCAGGGAATACCAAAAATAGACTTTGGGGCCAGGGAATGGCACCCCATCAGACTGGACCAGAAAACACTCCTAAAGGCCAACAAACAGTCTGTGAACTAACTACAGGTCTTTTTTTGTCATCGGCTTTTTGTTTTCTTTTGTTGCTTTGTTTTGCTCTGTCTTGTTTTTGTGCATGTTATTATCTCTGCGGGTCTGTCTAAGTAAGATAGGCTGGATGAACAA